TAATCGCATCAGGCACTGTCTTACACCGTGCCAACGATGTATGACGCCATCAACTATTTGCCGAAATGTGACGGGGAAGGCTGCTGGGGAATGGAGCATCCAACATAACATTAACTAGTTGTTGGAAAGGCGGCAGGAATAGGAGCATCCAACACGCACACAATTAAACCCCCGCCGTGAGATGTGTCGGTGGCTGTGAGGCAGTTGTGGGGACATGCCTGGGAGGCTGAAAGGGCATAAATCGCATCAGGAGCCATAGTACACCGCAACAACGATGCATCATACCATCAACTAGTTGCCAGAAATGCGGCGGGGAATGCGGCTTGATCAGTCATGCTCGCTAGGCAACCATCATGGGGAAGGGATGTAAGGGTGTCCTCCTCTCGGATGGGTCAAACTACTCCCAGTGGCTCGGCGACTTAGGCGATTTCCTTGCAACATCCAAGTTGAAGACTACATAAACACCCGTCACCTCCGGGCCGCAACACCCAAGACGCCCTGGAGGAGGACGCACAGGCGCTCGGCTACCTGCATCTGTCCTGTGAACTGCCCATCAAGCAGTTGCTCAGGAATTGCCAGACCACCCTCGCCGCCATGCAGCTCTTACAGCAACAGTTGCGTTCTGCATCCCAGGCCTGGCTGAGCCTGTTGGAGCCGCGGAAGCAGCTGAACATGCGCGATGGGAAGACGACCACTGACTTCGTTCAGCAGGCAGAGCAGCTCCGTAGCAATATAATCGTGGCCGGCGGCCAGTGGGACGAGAGCACGATGCACCACGCCATTCTCCATGGCCTGCCTCCGCAGTGCACCATCACCGTCGAGTTGACGATGTATCAGCCCAACTTAACGACCCCACAGCTCGTGCTCATGCTGCGTGAGAAGGAGAACAACCCTAAGACCTAAGCAAGCAAGACAAGCCTGGTGGGAGCTGTCGGCCCTGGCCGTGCTGCCAGTGGAATCGGCAGCACCGCCGGTGCTGCAGGCGCCGTGGTGGCCGGCGACACCTGCCACTACTGTGGACAGCCTGGTCACTACGTTCACGAGTGTCCCGTTAAGCAGGCGGACGAGTCCGTCGGCCTTCACCGCAGCAACACATTCGAGCAGCTGCACACCGCCGGCAACATCAGTTGAGGCAGCTGCAACCGCCACCGTGATGGTGGCAGCAGGGGCACTGGCAGCGGCAATGGCGGTAACAGCAGGGCCGACGGAGCACGTGAATGTGGCCGTGCTCTATGCAGCAACAGCCACCGCAACGGTGGCGGCACTGCAGGCGGCAGCAGTGGCAGCGGCTCGGGCAGCAGCAGAAGCAGCTC